ATACCAAAAGGCACTTAAATTTTTAGACGATTATAAGAATTTTCTTGTCATTCCTTTCTTTCTATCAATTAGCTATGAAACTTACGCGTTTTATAGAAATTTAATTTTCAGGTCTTTTATTCTCTTATCAATTAAAGTCCAAGCTCCATGCTTAAGGACCCCATTCCGGATATGAATTCCTGGAGTATTTTCAGGATTCATTGCCAATTGTGGTTTATTTAAGATTGGGTAAACTAACAGAGTCTTAAAATGTAGCGTTAAAGAACGTAATGCATATGTTAGGAAAAATGAAACACATAAGTCCCCTGTTGCTTAGCATTGTTTGTCAGAAAATCGTATTTTCCATTTTTCAGCAGCCAAAATTATTCAAAAAACATCTTCTATTGGTGAATTAGATATTCTAGAGGCGTTTCACATTAAAAATCTATCTGTTCTAGTTAACGACCCTAATTCCAACCCATCATTACCTTCAGCCTCTAAGAAAATTATGTTTTAGTTTTCTTGTTTCTTAAAAAGACGGTGCCAGTAGCGAAACTCCCGTCTAGTCATTCTTACCTTATCTTACCTTATCACTATATCTTATCTCGTTCATTTGCGCTTTGGCAGCTGAGGTTGATGGTTAGGTAAAACCATCGAAATTCTTTTTGTTATAATTTCCAAATATAACGCTTCTTTTTGTTGTTCGATTAACCTAATATTTGTTCGGCGTGTTATTTTACCGTAATTAAGTAAATAGTTTTCTTGCTAAATTGACGAGATAGCGTTAAGCTAGCGACGGTTTTGGTGACTAATTTTTGTCGCCAAATTTGGGAGAAGGCGTCTCTTGTGGCATTTTCTTTCGGCCCATGTATAACTCTTATCTGTATTGTGATTGAATAATTGTAATAATTATAGCTATGTTACTGTAACTGTATCCGGCCCTCATATGCCTTCCAGCAATTTCATGAAATAGAATTTACGAGAGATTTCTCCACGGTCGAGTGAAAAATATATAAGACCAGATAAAGCATATGCTCTCAGTTGTTAGTTCAGAGTTGAATTAGGAGTATTAAGAAATCCGTGAGAGTTCCATCTTTTGGATGAGCTATGCATTGTGTGTTGCTTAATGTTCTTAGTAGCTTGAAGTGCAATTATTAACTGTACACTCTGATACGATGAAGAGCTCTACGTGTACTTTTGTGGAAAATTCCAGAACTGAGAAGTCTTTATTTTGGTAAAATAAATGTTATCAATCTACACTCCTCAAAAGTGAAACTGCAACACCAAGAAAGAATGCACGTAACGTCATGCAAATCGCAGGAGCTAGAGTTGTGATGTGGATATGCAAATGATAAAAGTTGCACACGCACTGGATTACGTGGTACGCATATGCGGGCGATAAAGGTCAGGCACTTTTTCTCTCATAAAAGGCATCTGAGGGTTTACGGAGCATAGGAGACTTTGGAAGAAGCATAATAAATGTCTCTAAGACGTCATTGAGCTCAATACCATCAGTTAACGACCGGGGAATGTAACCGTATTATCGAACTCCATGAGCTTGGTTTGTCCCTGCGCACAATAGCCACCCGTGTTGGGCACAATGTGAGTACCATCAAAAGTTGTGTGACATGATGGATTTAGGAAGGTGTACGTGCACGTCGAAGAGGAAGTGGTGCGCACAGGGCGTAAAGATCGGGCGCAGACCGTCAGAGCGTAAATATCGGGGTATTCGACGGTCAACTATTGAAGAACTTTTGTCCACGTCATGTTACATCCGAAACCGGTTGCCTCCAAAAGTAGGTGGATCTGTGTCCACCCAAACTATACGCAACAGATTGCATGAAGTATACTTACGTTCACGGGTACCAGCGACAGGGGTACCATTGACTGCTAAGCGCAAGACTAGACGCTTGATGTGGTATCAGCGTCATAGTGCGTGAACCGTCGAATGGCATCGGGTTTTGTTCATGGATGAATCTCTTTTCTGCCTGTGAAGGAATGACGGCCGTCGACCGAGAGACCGGAGAACGTTAGGAAACAGCCCATTTCGCCGAGCATTACCCCTGTCCTGCACTGGGCATTATGATTTGTGGTGGCATAATGTTCGATCACAAGATCCCCAGGTGCGCATTAACGGCAGTTTGACAGCGGACCGCCACGTCACGCAAATTGTGGACCCTGTTGTTCTGCCCTGGTTGCAGGCGCACCTAACACGGTATTCCAGCAAGACAAATCAGGATCGCATGTCGTAGACGTACTCGTAACAGCCTGACCGGATTTGACATCCTACCCTGGCCGGCAGCCTCTCCAAATCGGAATCCCATCGAACACATTTGGGATGTCATTGGACATGACATTTACTGTGGATCAGGGCTGCAAACTCTGTATGATCTGTGTATAGCAGTGAATGTGGCTTGTCAAAAGCTACCTCAGGCAGCCATTAATGAAATCATTGATAGCATACCTTGCCGGATTACGGCTTGTATCGCTGCCCGAGGTGGACACATTAGTTACTGAATAAATTGTTTTACAATGAACTTGTGTCTGTTTTTTAATCATTTGCATATCCATCTCACAACTCTTGACCCTGCAATTTGCATGACGCTACGATCTTTATTTCTTGGTGTTACAATTTCACTTTTGAGAAGTGCATTATCAATTATCTATGCATTCAGTCTACTACGAGCCCGTGCGCATGCAACAATATATTTGAGCTTGAGTGAATGTGACATTGTATATGTTAAAAAGGGTAAAAGGGAAGGCAGATTTATTCAGAGAGCATTTATTTTGAAATATCTCGCGCGGAGAATACATGATACTCGTAGATACAGTGTCCAAAATTAAAACTGCGCATGCAGTTTTTTGCAGTAATATAAAAAATATCATTAATAATTTAAAAATTGATGTCATATAATTTTGGAAATTTAAGTTCAATGTAAACCTCTAGTGTTTGTTAAAACGATACGTTTAAGGAAACGTTACAGTGATAATTTCATAATCTGTGAAATTCAGTTACGGAATTGTGTTTCTTGGAAAAAAGATCACAGGAATGTCATTAAAATGAGTTATCATAATCATTTAAATGATAGACTAAGTTGAGGAGTCAGACAGGCTTGAAACTTACTAGTCTCAAGAGGAGTTTGCTCATTGGTTAGAGATAAATCTAATGATGGTGTTCATATTATAGAAACAGAAACAAATAGCACATTCTTCAGGGAGCATAGACTAGGTTCCCAAGGACCATAACACTTGCGGAGGATCGATATGTGGCAATAAATGCACGATGATGTAGAGAGATGATGGCTACATAGCTCTCTCAGAACCTCATGCTCTGTATGGAACAACGTCCAGGTAAGCTCGATGTGAATACCTAGCAGAAAACTCTCTTTGCGCTTCGCATCTGAAGTTATGCATCTTCAACTGATCAGGGAACACAGTTCGTCTTTTTAGATGCAGTCTTACTATTCTTGGACACAGCTAGATTGGGGCCATGTCCTCTTCAGTGATGAGTGGACAAGCAGCAACACATAATGATGCTAGAAAAGCCTCCATCTAAAAAGAACTCGATGTCCGTTATCATCTTCCAACATTAAGGAGATAAAGAAATATGGTGGAAGAGGAATCCTTGTATGGAGAAGAATCACCCTGATCTGGCATATAAACTACATGTCCTTGATGCTTGTACTATAAATGCGCAGCATTATACGAATTACGCTCTTGAATCTTATGTGATGATTTTCTGGTTAAACTTTGGAAAGTGGGCGATAACGCGAAGCCATATGCAGTGCTCAACTTGTCAAGATTTCCCGGAAGCAGACGGTGTTCAACATATGATGACTAGAAAAGTCGTTGTACCTAAATCCTTCTACATAGCATGGTTGGTACGTGCTTATAAGAGCCCTTGAGCGACAACAGTAACTCTCAGAACGTTCCAAGCATTATAACAGTCACTTTTGGATCAATGAGATTTTTCTCGCAAAAGCTATAATCAACAACCTCATTTTGAAATGACCCTTTGTAAAGTATGTAAAACTGTCCGGGTAGCCATATTCGTTACTAATCCTTTCAGTTCCAAATATTTATCTTTCATTCTAAAGGTCTAAAATCTGTAATACTAATTTTGCAGTCAGAATAAAAGGTTGAAAAGAAATGAAATGACTTAATTTTTTTTAAATAAAATTTTAAACGATTTCAAACATCATCATTGACAAGTTGTGAATGAGTCAAAATGAATTGATAACATTTGAAATTATTGGGAGTTGATGATGCAGAGTATTTGAACATATATTTACTATATTTTAAAGCAATAATATATTTAAAAAATTAAATAATTAAATTTACACTTATTGACAAAGTAGTTAAACAACATACTGCATTAAAAGTACTTCAATATCTGGACACTATTATATATTTTGTACGAAGAGCGTTTGAAAAAAAACTGTTTCAAAGTTTTCATATCAAATATTTACTGTCCGATATAATGCACAAATTTTATGCCCCACTTAAGCGGCTTATTTGTGATTTTACTGAGACTACTTAATGGGTGCTATAGTGACCACCGCTAGAAATTGATGAGTTTTATAATTTTTTTTTATATTCTAACACTTTCTCCATAGGTCTATACTTATTTGCTTCCTAATACAGATGTATGAATTCAAGCTTTAAATGAGCAATAAAACCTACATTGAACTTGACAATTAGTTTTAAATACACTAAAAATCCACACTTTCTCATCTTAGTATTTACCCTGCCAAGAGTAGTAAACACAAATTTGCATGAACTTGATGAATATCACCTTCATCTAATGTTCTAATAAAATATTAATCTTAATAAATTACAAATTTAGAAGCTGAGCCATACAATGAAAAGATAAATACAGATGAGAATGGTCAGCTTTGAGGCCTTCTAAAATGCGTTTAGTTAAAATGAAACTACAAAAAATACATATTTGATAATTTATACAGAAATTCTTCAGATACTTTGTGAAGCATAAGTTGGTAGAGAATACTTTTATTGGTTACCTTGTAGACGCCTCCTCATTCGCCTGGCTCGAAGTGAGGTTACGGGAGCTTGAACTTCCATACTTCCTGAAAAAAGTGGTGCACCATTTTAGCTTAACAGTAGTCATTTGATGCCAGCGATATGACCATTTTAGCTTAACGAAAATCACTTTTCGACTTATGAATGCGGAGGTCACTCGGAAAGTTTTTAGATGCACGCAGACAATAAATGACAGAAAAAACCTTACTGGTTCGATTTGAAACTAAGAAATATATCAGTTTAGCAGACGATGTTTTATTGGTCAATTGGAAATACTTAAGCGTAAAATAAATTTTAGAGAGAAGGAAAAATGGGGATGACGCGAGAATGAACTCTAATTTTCTATGGTTTTGAGTGGAATTAAATCAAGAAGAATTCATTCAACGTCTGCGGTTAGCATTTGAAAATGAATTGCAATTGATGGTTCATCTCGTATTACGGTATTCAGATGGTTTACAGAATTCTAGATTTCGCAACTCTCTTCAAGATGAAAAACACAAGTAGACCTTTGCCAGCACTTACTGCCGTACGAAGTATGTTAATCAATGACAATCGCGGCACCTACCATATGATACAGAAGGAACTTACAATTGAATCCCCTGCCATATATTTAATTATTCAGGAAGTATATCATGTGAAAAAGATAGTTTGCCTTTAGGTTTCATATAATTTAACTCAACACCAAAGACAGGAGAGTATTAGAATCTGTAAGAAAACCCTTAAATGGCGGCCATGGCATTATTTCTAAAAACCGTAACTGGTGATGAAACGAGCATACCGTTTTTATTTTACGTTCGAATACGTCATGAAAGTAAAGCATGGGTCTTTGAAGATGATCCCTCGCCAACAATGGTGAAACGACAATGTGCCATGAAAACAGAAATGTATGTCTTTTTTTTTTTTCGGAGCACGAGAATGGTCAAAACCATCAAGAAGTGCAGAAGACAGCCACAGATAACTGATACATCACTAAATGTCTTCCAAAAAGTCTTCAAGAAGTGAATGTTAGAGTTCTCATGCTCCACCATGACAATGCTTCTCCTCATCCAGCAATATTGACTATTGAGTTTCTTGAACAAAAACACACCAAATAAAACATCCATCCTATTCACCCGATCTAGCTGTGACTTTTGGTTATACTTTAATCTAGAAAAGAACTTACCTGGACGCCAATTTGATTCTGAAGTTGAGGCTATAAATGTATGTTTTTCATCGAATCCAAAAAATGTATGGCTTATGGCATTTAATCTTTGAAAAATTCGCCTATTGATGCTGGAACAGACTATTCTGAATACTCCTAAAATTTCGTAAGTATAACTTTAAAAACCTATGTGTATCTAAAAAATTTCAGAGTGACCCTCGTAACATGTATATAAAGTATTTAAAACATTCTACAATTAATTCTTTAGCCTTCTCTAACCATTTTTAAAATTTTGAATAACAAATGATCAGATGGCTTCTAAGGTATCTGCTTGCGACAGAATAACGTTTCTCGCCAAAATTGTACACATTCCATGAATGGACGGGCTTTAAACTAGAATGTAGAAACTTTTCGGCATGGATTCTATAGTTTTCATTCTATTGTTACATTATTACTTTCTCTTAATTTATTGGGAAATTAACTCAAACATATACAAATGTTGTCAAGATTATAATATATTTCTCAAAATGATGATTTTTGAAGAGACTAACAATAAAAGGAACTCAGAGGTAATATGTTATTTTTATGCTCGTTTACTAGGCTTAGTCAATATCAGTATAACATAAAAAAAAGAAAAACCACAAAGTACCGTTTTGCTAAATATAGTATTTTCTTTTCACACAATGGAAGATGATTCGGACAATTTATGGAAAAGATATTATTGATACTAAAAATGAAATTTTTTGCTTTTATAGCTGTAGATTCTTCGCCTCTCCCAATCTAAATATAATGCATGATTGCTGAAATAATTTTCGAAAAATGTAATGTAATTAATTATCTAGTTGTATGTAGACGATAATAGCGTATGAAAATAATTATTAACACCTATCTGAGTTATTAATGATTGTGTCGGTTTTGGTTTCCTTATGCTTTTACTATGCAATAAAATGTCCAAGAACTAAGTATTATAAGTTTATTATTTAAATTTACCAGTTATTCTGATTTTGGTCTTTACTATAACTTTACCTTTTCGTTTTATTACCAGAATAAATGATAGAACACTATTTAAACTGATGTTTTTGGTTTGGTTCATTTCAATATGGTAAAGAAATCGAGGGCTACCTGCCTAAGCGAAGGGATGCCTTTGTGGAGGACTCTATTGGTAACTAGTTTCTGTGCACGTTACACCTGTGGAAAACCGAGAAAACGTCCAAGCGGCAAGACCGTTCACCGGGATTCGAACCTCGGACCAAATTTCCAATGTTCAGTTACTTGATTCCCTCGGCGGATAGCAACCATTGAGGGTTTTTAGAATTTTAAGAAAAAACATGTGTTTCTACCTTCGCCTACATTCTGTTTGTTAGTTTTCAGTCAGCTCTGGATAGTTGTAATTATTCGGCTTTGCGTTATATCATTGCTCACACTTTGAGTTTGAAGCTCCTGTAGAATTCCTGCGCCGACTTGGAATAATATTTACCTCTGCCCGTTGATTTTAAAATTGACTGTTCTATTTAGTTACATCACTACAAGCTGAGGCTAACATTGTTAGCACAAAAGAGTGCGTTTATAATCTAAATTCTGTTAAAATAGAAAGGTTATTTAAACATTTCCAAAACTTTGTAATTACTTCAGACAAAGCGATAAGTCACTTTACGTCTGTTGGAGTTAATGGACTAATTTATACTTTCAGATCAAGTAAGACCCCCAAAGTATGTTTCTCTGGAATATATTTACATGCTCAAATAAAACGCAATTTTTAAACTAATGTTTTGTTTTCTTTCATTTCATAGGTCCTAAAATGCTTTTCTCTTTCTGTATATATCGTATTCCAATCACCACGAACGTTCTACCACGTGATACATCAGTAATAATAGCCACCAGATTTTACGTTCTTAGATATAATACCTTTATTAACTTAAGCCATGTATGCAGTCTTCCAAAACCATTTCATTGGCATTTTATTTCTTCTAACTTCCTGAAAGCGCCTTACCAATATTGTAGATATTTTTCTGCCGTCCAACCGGTATAGTGGTTAGCATCGCTGACTGCTGTGCGGAAGAACCCGGAGAAGGCATGAATGTTTCCAAATGTATGGAGTTGATGCTATATGGCTGCACTCTAAATATGCAGCCACCTGAAATTTCTGTCGTGTAGTTTGGTCTTGGAAGTAAGAAAGGAAGGAGGAGCCAAACCGACACTGCTACGTGGCTTCGGTCCCCAGATGAGGTGTTTCTGATTACATTCAGAAGCTCCTCGACAGAGCTCTGATAGTATTTCGACACACGACAGTTCCACACAAATCGAAACACGGGACACTTCCTCTTTACATAAAAGAAACATTCATAGTGTGATGGATAATAACAATTTGTATAGTTTAGTGACATTTACGTAAAAATCACATCTTGGTCATTTTTCGATAACTATCAACGGTGATTTTGATTATGAATTTGTTTTATAAAATTCTAAGCTGTTGAACTACAAAATTAGATTTTAGCAAAAATGTTATGCTTAAAGAATAAAAAAAAAACCTTACGGTACCTTAAAAGTTTTATACGTCTTTTGATACCCTTGATAGAGTATTCGCTACTTTTATGTTATGTTCCAAACGCCAAAATGTTTTAAATAAAATAAATGTTTTTGTCATCCACATATTACTGTAACATGTACTTTTTAAAAAAAGTTGCAGAGGAGAGGCTTTATTATTGCTCATTTTAAACTCATAATTTTATTTGTATATAACTGAAAAATAATCATTTTGGGTTTACACATTTTACTTATTTAGGTTATTAAAAAATAATATTACCGCCAAATGCTACAATCCTCGTCAAAATTAATAAATCCACGTACCGATATGCCATTAAGTTAACTTTTCCTTGATTTGTAGCCGAAAATCATGTACAGTTTAACACAAATTTGTGGAAGGGAAGACGGATATATTTGTGAATTCAGTGAGTGGAGCAATTCTATGCAGAGTAAGATAATCAAGATTGAGATCTGATGACAATGAGGTTAACGTTAAAATGTAAAATGCATAGTTACTATTTATTATATTATCAGAGAATTGTTGAACTGAGCAAAACCGCTAAAAGAAGTATTGAGCGCTCTGCCAAAATATATTTGCAAAATTATTTGAATTTGATAATTAATGTATCCTAACACTTGTTTTAAGTCAAACGTTTAAAACTAGATACCTAAAAAAAGTCTAAAATTATGCATGTTAAAATATTTGTAACTAGGCACATAGATAAGGTTACGTTTTTATTAAAGAGAAGAAGGAATGCGAGCGCTACCTTGCTAAAGGGAACGATGACATCAAGGAGACATTTTGTTCAAATTATATTTATACATATTTTTTATGTAAAATTTGGGGGTATATGTTAAATTATTGTAAATTATTTTACTCCGAAATTCTAGTGAATGCACAGAAATTAAAGATTTCCACATGCGGAAAATGAAAAATATGAAATATGTATGGGTATTTATGCATATGCTTGCAAAAAGCATGTATCTGCCTTTAACAAAATACGGAAATATTTATTAAATTATTTATAAACGTATTTGAAATGAGGGATTTATTCATTCATAAACTCCTGTGAAAGTTACTGTGAAGAAATCTAATTATTAAACGAATCTAAATTTATAGTCATTCTATGAGATGCGTACTTAAGTATGCAACACATGTTCATATAGATTTATATGAAGCATGCCAACTGTCAAATTCATTCTGTGGATACCTGCACTTCCCAGGGCCTGTTTGACAACATGAGTTGTACGTATCCAGTTTGTCAACCGTAAAAGGAAAGTTTAGCTTTAAAGGCTTTCCGATAAAAAAGGAAATATTGGAGGACAACATAGTTTAGAAAAGTACAGACTTAGGTCAAATTAATCTCTGTCGAAAATGTGGAA